TGACGGTTGATGAGTGCTGACGAGCTGGTGCAGCACATAAGCGCATGGCACAGGTATACATATATGTGCTGCAAACCTCACATGTTGTGCACATGTACCCTAGAACTTAAAGTATAATAATAATAATAAAAGAAAAAAACAGAAAAAGCAGAACAAATGACACAAATAAAATTACAGAAATAGAATTAAAATGTATCACTAATGAAAATAAATCCATATCTATAAATCAAATTATATGGTTAAAAACACATTGTTAACTTTTCCCAGTCAGTATAGGGCAAATTTATGCTGAGGTTAAAAATAAAGCGATCCCAGGGAGAATGTGGTGGCCCACATCCATAATCCCAGCACTTTGGGAGGCCAAGGTGGGAGGATCACTTGAACTCAGGAGTTCAAGACCAGCCTGGACAATATAGGGAGACTCATCTCTACTGAAAATCTTGGCCGGAGTGTGGTGGTGCACCTATGGTCCCAGCTACTGGGGGAGGCTGATCACTTGATCACTTGGGGTAATCACTTGAACCACAGAGCTGTGATGGTGCCCACCGCCAGTCTGCACAGCAGAGGAGACCCTGTCTCAAACCAACAAGCAAACAAAAAGTTATTCCAAAATCTTGAAGCTTACAGCAACAGTCTGTTTCAGATTATTTTAAGCTTCAAATAAACACTAAATCTTAATGACTTAAAACAACTTAATTTATTGTTGCTCAGGATGTTGTGGTTTGGTTGGGCAGTTCCACACATGCTCCTGCAGCTGCATTCACCTGCTGGTTCAAGCAAGACTGCAAAGACAAGCTTCGTGCCTCACTGTGTTAGGGAAGGCTAGAAGTCTAAAATCTCTGTTTCTCACAGTTTCATCTTTCAGTAGTCTAACCCAAGCTTCTTTGCTTGGCAGCTGGGTCAGAGAGCTAGTGGAAAGCACCAAAATATCTTGAGGCTGACTCCAGAACTCATTCAACATCACTTCTACTACAATCTTATGATAGTGTGAATCATTTCAAAGTAATTCACAGGCCAAGCCCAGGTTCAGAAATTGGAAATAGACTACATCTCTTGATGGGAAGGGCAGACATGGCATGGGCAATCAATCCCCATTTACCTCTCAGTCATGCAATGTGTTCACTGCAGGTCAGCTCCATGTTGTTTTCACTCCAAAACCCAGGCTGATAAAGAGATCTCAAAATATTTTTAGTGTCATAGCAAAGGGATCATGATGAAGCATGTGCTGGCCCTGAAGCTTCAGCCAGAAGTGCTCTTTGCTCATAGAATTCATTGGCCAAAGCAATTACATGGCAAAGCCTGACAACATAATATTACTGAGGACTACAGGTACCTAAAAGAGAGTGTTATAGGAAATCCTACTGAAGTGTGAACTACTTGGGTGAGGAGAGAGGAGGAAACCACAAAATATTTGGATGATATACAATGGTAAAATTAGCTTCAAGAAAATTTTAGAATATTTTATGTCATGCTAACAAGGTTCACTGACATTAACAGTTATAGAATATTATAGAGCCCATGCTCAAGAGGCGAAGCTGTTGGAAGAGTTTCAGGGGAGTTAGACCACTTCTGTGTTCAATATACATACCAAGTCCCCCACTGTCATCTAAAGATTTCTTCTCTGGTTATAAAACTACCACTAGAATCATAAAAATTTTCATCAAGTCCAACCTACTCCACACACAGAACCAACTTATCACAGATTACAGGGAAATGTTAGGATATATATCTTGAAATAAGTCAAACTGTCAGCAGGCCTTCACTGACCATTCTTTACATGCTCATCTCTTTGCTATGTGCTGTAGTGAATGTCAAGTATAAAATAACCTCAAAGGTCAGGAAAACATTTTAAATAAAACAAAGACCAACATAAGATAACTATGAGTCTTTTCCTGTTCTCAAGAGGCAGACAATGGCTGCTGAGATATTTATTACTTCCAGTTGGCAGTTTTAAGAAAATACAGATTTAAAACAGAAGCAATCGCAAGAAAAGCAGTGACAAAATAAAAGCAGGTGGTAGAAAGTTCAGGTGCTGGAAGAGATCAGAGGAAGGAAAAAAATCTTAAGGACTGAAACAGACATATTCAAGGAGGGAAACAAGGGCTAAACCTCAAATGATAACACAAGATTATTCTTAAAGAAGAGACAGAAAAATTTTACAAAACAGCAGAACATGGACAAAGCCACCTTCCCATGAGGTTCCCCAAAGAACATGATTATAGAAGAACAGAAGAAAATGTTCCACGGAAGTCAAATTTACCACTACCTCAATTATAGACCCCAAATCCCAACATTAGAGACTGAGCCAGGTGACCCACTCTTTGTCCCTAAATTGGTCAGGCTTCAACTAAAGTAAGCTGGGAAGCCTCCTGCTCAAGTTCTACAACAATGCCCATACACAAATGCCAAATCTTACTGCTCTATATTCCTAATGACAAGAGATAAAGCAATGCCCACCAACCCCAGCGCTGACCTGTCTAAGTAGCATCTTCCGCTAGCAAATGTGGTCCTATCAGCTTCTAAGTCAACCAATTAGATTAGCATTCATGTTTCTTAATAAAGAGAAGTATGAGGGATGAACTCACAGGCACTAAGTACCAGCGAGGCCATACATCATTAAGCGCAACCAGAGCCATAGGGAGTTTCACTGAAAGAAGATGAATCAGGGCGGCAGCAAAAGGGACAGATGAGTCTCTGGCTTAAACAGTTCTTTATGGCAGGTGAAATGATTGCTAATGTTTCACTTTGCCTATGCATTAGTCTTCTCCACATTTCTTTCTCATTTCTTTCTATGCTGCTGTGAGAAGACTCATTTCAACAAATTTCTGAACCAGGAAATGTGGAATCCATAAAATGTTGGTTTGGTGTTTGATTTGGGGGTTTCTTGGTATCATCGTTCTACAGGCACATAAAGATCCACAACTCTCACAAAGTAACAGTGCAACACAAAGACCTTAAACACAAAGAAGGCTTGTCTTCTCTGTGCCCCAATATTGCTTTTATTATGAATCACACAAGTTAGACTTTATTGCATCTTGTTCTGTTATGCTACTATTAATCTTGCCTCCCCAAGTAGAATGTAAGGGCCTTGCTGCTTTGTGCATGCACCCCATAGTGCCAGTGCTGGGCAGGGTTAGAAATGAGAAGCTTAAAGCAGCAGCCTTCCTTTCAGGGTCTTGCAGCAGTGAACTGACAACTTTCAAATAAGTTCACACCATACAATATAGTAACAGAGAGTGTTCGTCTGGCCTTTTCTGGATATTAAATACATTTCTGCTGCTGCACTAGCCAAATAAATACAGAATGTATGTCATCCAAAAAGCAGATAAGTACTCGGTTAGAGTTAATAATGTATATAAAACTACATATGTCAAATTATTTCATGTATAATGCAAACATATGATCTATCCTAATTAAGATGATCTTGAAATGTCTAGGGGCCAAGCTCGATTAGGGCTCTAAAATATTTGGTTTTTGCCATAACCTTCCTGGAGTAAACCTTAGAAGTAAGAATCTCTACTGTTTGCTTTAGTAAATCATTTTCAAGGGTTAAAGAGTGATGTGATTTAATCTTGACGATAAACATTTGCATTGCCTAAAAACAGATAAACAGGGAATTGCTCTGGAAGCGCCCCTATGACAAAATGTTCACAGAGTTTAACATGATAGAAACCATCAACCAACAGGTTTATCAATGCCCAGCAAGAGTGACTAGAGCCTCTCTTCTTCCTTGCACATAGCTCTGGAAGTTGCAGTTCAAGCCCCACACACACACCTAGAGGAAGGTGAGACCTTTCAGGATGGACCAGGTCAAATACACATTCCAACAACACCTAATTTAGAGCTTCACTTAAACTGTATGTGTCAGTGAGTCCAGACATTTGTCTTCTTTGACCTTGCTTCCCACTCCCTTCAAGGAGAACACAACCTATATGTCTGTGGTTCATTGCTCTCCATTCTGTATTTCCTCTGGACCATGTAGCTGAGTCCCAGCAGTAGGGTGGCCCTCACTCTTGGGGTGTGCCTGAGTCTGCCTCCCCAGGTGAACTGCGTATGTGTGATTTTAAGAAACTTCAGGATGCTGACTTCCATGAAGTCTAGGTTAGTGGCTTCTGGGAGGTCAAGGGGAGATGCAATCTGCTACCATAGCCAGAACCTACTTTCCCCACCCCCACCCCAGCCTCTGGGTTCTAACTGTATGATTGCAATAAAGAAGTCACTGAGGCCAGATGTGGTGGCTCATGCCTGTAATTCTAGCACTTTAGTAAGCTGAGGCAGGAGGACCCCTTGAGCTCAAAAGTTTGAGACCAGTCTGGACAACATGGTGAAACCTTGTCTCTACCAAAATACAAAAAATTAGCTGGGCATGGTGGCACACACCTGTAGTCCCAGCTACTTGGGGGACTGAGGTGGGAGGATCACTGGAGCCCAGGAAGTCAAAGTTACAGTGAGTCATGATTGTGCCCTGCACTCCTTCCTGGGTGACAGAGTGAGACCCTGTATCAATCAATCAATCAATCAATCAATGAAAGAAGTCACTGAGATCTTGATGCAAAGAAAAGAAAACAAGGAGTCAATGAAAGAAGTCACTGAGATCTTGATGCAAAGAAAAGGAAAACAAGGGGTCTGGTATGAGTTTGGCCCAATCCTAATGGCCTGGAGCAAGTTACCTTTCTCTATGGTGATGTTTCTCAAAATACACTCCCCGAATACCAGTTTCAGAATCACCTGCCAGAGATCTGGGTCCCACGCCAAGTTGGCTGAAGGAATCAAAGTGTCTAACAGTGGGGCCACATTCTCATGTTTGAGGACCATGGTCTAAAGACTCTGAGTTTGTTATCCATCAAATGAAGTAACACAGGCCATAGCTACTTAATGAGGTTATTGTAAGGACCAAAATGGTATAGTGTATGTAAAGTAGTATACGGTCTGGTTTATCAATTAAGAACATATTTGGGATCCAAACAGACCTGAACTTGAAACCAGATTTTGCCACTTACCAGCTGTGTGATCTTGAGAAAAGTACATCCTTTCTGAGCCCCTGTTTTCATAAGCTGTAAAATGTGGACAGTAATACCTAACTCAGGGAAACCACACAAGGATTAAATGAAAGGTTACATGAAAAATGCTTAACCCATTCCTGGCACAAGGTAAGTATTCCAGTCATGAACACATTTTTCCTCCTTCCCAGAAAAATACTTCAAACATGAGTCAGAGTATACTCCCTGCTTTACTACTACGGTGAGACTTACGATGCTTTTCCTACAGAACTTCCCAACTTGGTCTTAAGTTTTGTCTTTCATAAGTAATTGTCCAGGCTCTTCCAGTCTCTGTTAAGACAGGCTTATAAACTGTTACTATCTTGCTCATCTGGGACTAATAAATTGGCATCTTGGCTTTCTGTGCCTTTCCAAATATTTGATTCTCTTATATTTCCCCCCACCCCACATCGCTCAATTTACAATCCTAAACTATGGGATATAGCCCCATCTCCATAGTAACTATCCAAGAAAGCGAAAAATATTTTTACCATATTAACGGAGAGTTCATATCTAAGGGTATATCTTCACAGCAACTGGTGCTAAAAGAAATAAAAGGAAGGCAAGTTGCAGGAAACCAAAAGATTGGCTTAAGCTGACCCTGGGAAATCCCTGGCAGCTGTACCCCCCAAAATCGACCTCCTTCAGCCCTGGTCTCAATATCCCATGCCAGGAAAGAAGGGCATAGGGGCTATCTGGGGTGAAGTTTGGATTAAAGTTCCTGACAAACAAGGCCACCTCCTTGTCCCAGGGCCAATTCTAAAGGTTCCATCTGATACTGTGGGGAAGCTATCTTCCCCTAGCAGTCAACTCTTAGTAATCCAAAAATGTATTTATTTATCCTACTGTCAACAGGAATAAATTATATTCTACCTCCCGGTCCTTGCATTAGGGGAAAAAAAGTGAAGGAAGACAATCTATTTCAGTTGTAATTAACATTGGCCCCGAGGGACCTTTCTGAAATGTCTGCCCTGGCAACATTTCCCCCAGCGTGGATAAAAACGCCTTCATGGAATGAGAGCCTTGGAGATCCCCCGCAGACATCTAACTGGATTCCAAACACGGAAACCCTGAGCAAGAGATGAGTTTCCTGCGACACTGTCAACTTGCACGCATTTCCGATCCCACCGCTGCCCCCTTCATTTTAGGCCTCCCCTATTGCCTGGGGCAGGGGCCCGATTTTCTTACTTTCACCACACCGCGCTGGAGAGAGGCCCGCACCAGGCAGGCTCCAGGCGGCCAACCTCGTGGCTCGAGAAGGCGCTGTTGCCACAGGGCCCAGTCGCCCGAGGAGGCCAGCGCAGACCCTGGAGAAAGCAACAGGAAGCAACACATACGAAACCCTGGGCTAAATCTTCGGTCCAGGACCCGGGTCCGCGCACTTTGCGCCACACCCGCCAGGAAGCTCCCTCGCCCCCGCCCTCTGCCCTCCTCCCGCTGATCCGCCGCGAATTATGGAGTGAGTGCAGGGACCCAGTTCTGGAGTGCCAGGGGTTCTCCGGAACGGACCCCGGGGAACCCGAAACCCGGCATGGCCCTCCACCTCGGTGCACCCAATCTGATCCCGCAGCATTCCCTGCCTCTAGGCTGAGAGAGGGAAGAGGGGGAGGGTAGTCAGAAAGTTAAAGACATCCCTTCCCCCACCCCAGCTAAGGTTTGGAACCGCACACCCGCAAGCCGGAGAAACCCAGACGCGCGCCCCGCACTCCTGCCTGGCGACCCGGCTGGGCTACGGGATCTATTACGCTCCGCGGAGAGGAAATCCCGTCCTTCTACTCGCTTCCTGGAAGAGTTGCTGCTTATGCAAAGGAAGGGAGGAGGGTAGTGTCCGGATGCCAGCAGAAGCAGCCGGCAACCCCGAGCAGGACCTCCGGGATGAAGCCATAGCAAACGGCCCCCGGCATCTCCTAGAGGTCCTGGGGCCCAGCCTAGGGGTCCCCGGCAATGACCTTCCCCGCCCACCTTCCGGAGGCGGAGCCTGGCCCGCGCGGCCCTGATGAAGAAGTTTCCTGCCGCTCCTAGGGGGCGCCATGAGCTGCGGCAAGCGCCCTTTTCTTCCTCCCAGCGAAGGAAGATTTCCCCAGAGCGGCGGCACTAAAGGGGCGCAAGGTCCTTTTCTTAACCAAAACCTCGCTCCGTGGCACTCGCGCTTCCCTTCTCCTTGGAAACTCCATGCTGGAGCTTGGGGACATACAAGCTCCTAACCAAGCCTTCGGACGCTCGCAACACGCGGGAACTTTCTTCCTAGATCCCGCCAAGTTAGGGGTGGGAGGAAGCGCACCGGTCGAGTTTGACCTGCTTGCGCTGTCTCCCTCGATTATGAAATTGAAAGACTAAGCGTGATTTCCTCTGCAACGCTGTCTCCATTTCTTGTCCTGACAGAGGGTTGGTCTCAACTGACATAGTTACAGATGTGGCCTTAATCCCAGCCCCGCTCCCAAGCAGAGGAGAAGAATGAGAAAGAGGGAAAAGCAGAGGTCTGATCTCTCCCTTCAGATATTCATCTCTCTAGCCAACAGTTTTCTTCTCCCCACACCTCCCCACCACGCGAAAAATTAGTCTCATTTGTACAGAAGCTTCTCCCGGGTACAGGGTCCGGGAGCGTGCAGAGGGTAGCTGGAGCTGAGAGCTAAGGCTGAACCTAGATTTTTCATGAGACTGTGGCAAAATGAAAGAAGAACCAGGGACGGAGGGTGGATACGTGCCATACCGGGCGACTGGATCGGGCCTTAGGGGAGAGAAGCTTATTTAACCCGGAGATTTGCTTCTCAATTGTGGCCCGGCCCCACACCACCGCCACCCCACCCAACAGGTTTGCAAACTACATTTCAAGCCCGAGGGGCTCAAGCCCGGAAAGGTCATCCCGGGAGCTTGGACCTGCAAAGCCCAGTGTGTCTGGGAAAGGGGGTCTAAAGTCTTGTTACACTAGAACGACGCCACTGGCTCACAAACCTGACTCGCTCACGCGCAAGGCGAGGGCCGGCGGCGGTCTGCACGCGTGTGGACTTCGTGCACAGTCGGTCTGCGGTGCCTTCCACCCGCCAGCACGGGGCTGTTCTCTTAATGAATTACTAATGAGTTAAAATTGGGCAGCAGGCTTAATTAAAGCGTAGAGGCAATGTGTTTACCACATTGTAATTGAACTCATTAGGGCTATGGCTTTTTGTTTTTTAAGCAGCCGCCTTCCTTCTCTGCGTCGAATAATCTATGGGAAGCGTTTATTAGAGAAGGAGGGAGCAGGGCAGAAACAGTCCATCAATTCTTTCAATGAAAAAGACAGGACGAGTATGGGGAGGGGGATGCAACGCCTCCATTCCGCCGATGTCTTGGTGGAGCCAAGGCTAACCCGAGGCTTCCTAAGAAGTTTCAAGGGTAGGATGACCCAGTGAGGGTTGCCGGCACTTGGAAAGTTGCCAAGGAAGGAGCTAGGCCGGAGCCTGAAAGGCAAACTTTGTAATACCATACAGGTCTACCGAACTCGGTCTTCATCCCCTCCTGGAACGCTGGGCTCCAACTGGAACCCCTGGCCCGCGCTCTCCCGGACACCCAGTCTGACACTTCGTTATGAGATGGATTCGACTAACTTTATTTATTTATTTATTTTAAAGCAGCCTATGTTCAGCCCTAAAGCTTTCCTTCCTGGGGATGCTGAGAAGGGCTCAGTCTTCTGCATCCAATCTTCCCAGCTCCCCTCCTGGAGATGCACAGTAGGTTCTCATCTCACCTCAGGTGGTCGTTCCCCGGGAGAGTATGGAAAGGGTGCCCCCTCCTAGTGGACTGCCGGTAGGCGGCACAGGAGAAGCGCACCTGCGCGTCCTGGGACAATCCTTATCGTAGGGAGTTCAAGCTGCCGGCCGGGGCTGCGCGCCCCCAGGGTGGATTGCTCCCTCCTGCCCCTGGCCTTACTCCAATTACTAGGCCTTCAGCCCTCGCCTCATTTATGTCCTCCTTCGACCACTGGGCATGGAGGGGTGAAGGGTGGAGTGATGGGGCTGGGGCTGACGCTGCGGTCCTCGCCCTGCCCTTCCCTGCCTGACCAACAGGCGGCGTCAGAGACCCAGGTCTGAGGTGGGGAGCGAGGGGGTGCGGATCTGAGCAAGCTAAGCCGAGCAGGAGGGCGCGAGGAAACCGACCCTCACCCTAAACTTACAAACTTGCCCAGGAGGAGAGTAGGAAGAGCTGAGCGGCTGCAGGAACCGCCGAGAAGGGGAGGGCTGGGACAGGACAGGGTCGCGGCGAAGGACCGGATCGCGAGCAGGAACGCAGAGGACCGCGGGCGGCGGGAGGCGGCGGCTGATCCGCGCGGGGGAGGCGGCAGGCGCCGCGGGAGGCAGAGCGCCTAGGAGCCGCGGAGCGTGAGGCAGGAGGGAGGACCGCGAGCAGGGGGCCGGAGACCGCGCGGGCGGCGCGGACAGGTAAGTGGCTTCGTCCTCCGCCCTCGGCCTCCCTTCCTTTGGAGAATACGGGGACCAAGGGGACTCCAGGAATTTCTAGCCCCCAGCACAGCCCCGCAGCTGACCTCAACCTCCTCTGTCCTCTCCACTTCAAACGCACACCCATTCCCAAGTCCCCATTCCTCACCACTGTAAATTTTGTCGGTCTCCCATCCTGTCCATCCCCCACCCCATCCCACCTATCTCCGCCTGACCCGGGAGGTTGAGGTAAATTGTCTCTAATTTGTTGCTAAAAGATTAATTGCAGAAGGTGGGTCGATTTGATTAAGGCAATTAATCTTTGGTTACAGCGTTCTGGTGTCACTTGTGGGCGGGGCGGGGGGGGAATCTGAAGAGAGCTAGGGAGAGAAGGCAAACGAGACTTTTTGGAGACGCTGTGGAAAGCGGCTCCCTCACCTAGGACAGCATCCAGATCTTTGCCCCTGAACCCCCGCAGCCCGCAGCCCCCGAGCTCACGCCGGCGGTTTCAGCCCTGCCAAGCTCGGACAGCGACTCCCGCGGGTGAGCCTAGTAACTTCCCGGTCCCGGGAGGTGAAGGAATGTAGGCAGCCTCAGGAGCTGACCGGGACGAGGGGTGCACCCCTAGCTCCCGTCTCCGGCCCAACCACTGGGCTTCCCTTTCCCCACTGCTTGAAAACAGGATCCGGCCAAATAGACTCCCCGAAGACCCCAATTCTCAAACCGCCATAGGGGTGGGAAAGAGAGAAACCCCCCAAACGTCTCCTAGAAAAGTTCCCAACGCTGGAGTTTTCTCTTTTCATGAATAATTAACGCTGCTCATAAATAACTGATGGAGGCAGCGGAGAAGGGAAGAGGGAGGAGGCGAGCGAAAGCCAGAGCGGCCAAAGAGAGATCGAAGAGTTTGTTAAAGGACCATTAAGGACGGCTTGCTGGGAACGGCATTCCTCCTAGATCACGCAAAGCGGTTCCACCCTGGCGAGGGGTAAAAGCAGAGAGGCGAGGCGCCCAAGAGAGCGAAGATTGTGCTGACCAAGCCCGGGGCACCCTTTCTAGACCCAGTCTTGTACTCTCACCATCCTCTCACACCAACCCAGGGCTCTTCCCAGAGCCACCTGGGACCTTCGGTCATCACCTATCCCCATGTCTACGCCCAAAGTGCAGAAGTTCTAGGCCAGATAATAGAGGCCCAGGGCTGAATTTGGATTTTGAGCTCTGACCGTGCTGCTTAGGACTGTGGCAAGACTTGCCCAGTTCCAACTAATTTGCATGCACCTCCCCAAAGCTCTCCTCACCCCATCGCAGACCATACCATTTCATTCTTTTCACACTGGCCCAAAGTCTTGAGACTTCAGTTTCCAGCGTGTTCATTCCCACCTGCTCACATCAGAACCCTCAAGAACACAGTCTTTACAGTGCTCCCCCCAAAACTGCTTCGCCCTCTCCCACTGCCCTTCCACCATCTCCAATTCCTGACTTTGTCTAAAGGTCTGGAGCATCCTGAACTCACATCTTGTATCCATCCCAGCTCTGCACTGGGACTCGTGAGCAGGGATCTCAGAACTTGGAAGAAAGTCCAAGAAGAAACCCTTGCTCCTAGGCTGCAGGCCTATGCCAGGGCCTTTTGGCTCCTCTAGGAAACACTGGCCTCTCACCAAATAGACAGCCTCAGATGGCCAGTACATGTTTTTAGAGTGAAACTCCTGAGAGTCCCTTGGCCAAGCAGCCAACGCAGTCCTTCACAGGGGCTCATGGAGGCCATCCCACAGCAAAGCCATGTCTTTTCCTAGTGCAACCGGGCATAGAGCAGTATCTTCCCAGGGCATCGGCCCAGGGAAGAAGATACTGTAGACTGCACCAACCACCACTAGCTGTGAGATGAGGTTCTGACTTAGGAGGTAGGAAGGAGCCTCTTTCTGAGCTTGACCATTGGTCAACAGCATCCACCACATACACTTCCAAAATGACCATCTCCTGACTTCTGGGTATACCAAAGGTCAGACTAACTTCTGATATTTCTGGGCTAGGAGCTGAGAGTAGCTTCCAAAGAGAAAAATTTGTGGCCAACCCTCATAGAATCTACTCTTAGAGTATTTGTAATGAGAATTTTCTCTTCTCTTTATGTAATATATAAGAAAACACCAAAACCAATTTTATTTTCTCAACTACCTCCTCCCCACCTCAACACTTCCATACTCTGAGCTCTACCTTTTAAGAACAGGGAAGTTCTGAATGGGAAAAGAAAATGGAGGGAGAAGAGGAAATTCTTAGGGAATTGTCTCTCCGCCTCAATAGGGACATACCAACCAAGGAGGATAGTTGTGAAACTAGACAAAGGGGTAGGAGGAAATCAGATGAGGAGGAGGCTAGCCCTGGAGCCATGGGTTGTTTACTTCTCATATAAAATATAACTCCCCCAAGCAGGAAGTTACTGCAAACAAGTATCAATAATGAATGAATCTCCTGTAATAAAATACTTACATAATTAGCACAAGTCAAGTGGCTGCATTATGTTAACCTTTTGCAACTCTGAGCTGGAAAA